TGTGCAATACATTACTGTCCTTGCTCTGACTGTAGTAATGTGTGAATTAAACTGTAATATCTCATGACTGGAACCTTTCTTTAATTCATACTGAAAATCACTCACACAATCTATGCACTGAACAAAGCAGTAAATTCACCTCAACATCTTTATGCTTTCCCATAGTCTTTAAATCATTCATATTCAGACTTTCTGTGTGTTCTCGATTGGATGGAAATGTTTCTAGTCCATAACTTTTCCATTAATGTTTTTGTGGAATTAACTCTTTAAAGAGAAAGCTCTGTTCTTTGATAATGAGGAGAAAGAGCAAAGCCCACGCTTCACTGCTGCAGGATGAGCCCGGAGAAGCCCTTGGGCTCTGAGCCATCCTGGAGCAAGGTCCTGAAATCAGGCCCTGAATACAGCCCTAGTGAAGAGCACACATTGCAAATGGGTGGCTGGTGGGGTGGCATCTCCCTCCCTCCACCAGTGCTGAAGGTGTCCTCCCCCTGTATAGGCAAAGAAGTTCAGCAAACTCCCCTTTCTCTCACACGATGTGCTGCTGTGAATGAAACCCTCCAAATGTGTTTGCCTGTAACACAAAATGCAATTATTCTGCAAGACATGATAAAAATCTGAAAAGAAGTTTGAGAACACGCTCCACTGCATCATCTGCAGAAGCTAAGGGGGATGAACAACAGAGCTGCATGGTAGGAAACCAAACACTTCACTGCAGTGCACCTAATTTGTGAGACATCTCCCAAAATCAGCCTCATTGAGACACAGCATGCCAAGGGCTCACAGGTAAAAACCACCACTGAGTACAAGAAAATACATTAAAACCACATTAAGGGATTTGACAGAGTCCTCTAAAATTCAGAGAAAGACCTTCCTCTGCAAGGACCCTGTACACCAAGACACTGCAGCCTTTAGGGTATCAATGACACTCACTGTCCCTCTCTTTTGACAACTGCCCTTTTCTCAATGAACTCTTTTTCTTCCATGGGTTTAACCCAGGGCTGGAAGGTCTCCATAATCACTGCTACGAAGGCTACTGCTGCTAGTCTGTGTATTGTTTCCTTAGGTACTCCAAATTTCTGGCTTGAGGCCAGTCTCTCAAACACAAGGAGTTCTCCTCAATGCCATGTGTTAGCACAGGTCTCTCCCTACTTCTGAACCTGCTCTGAGAAGGCTTGTCCTCCTGCAGTGCTCTGCAGCTGCTCCCAGCTTCTGCCTCCAGCCTCTGACCTTTCCAAGGCTACCTGTGAAATCCCACATTCAGTAAGAGACTTTTTAAAGCAAACAGTTTACATATGATTAATTCTGCCTGTAGACCTCAAAAAAACCCTTCCTGATTAATAAAGGTCACTGAATCTCAAAAGTTTATGGCAAACAATTCAAAGATATTACAGCCCTCCTATAAAAAATGAAGTAGAAAAAGTACCTGTTTTTTTCTGGAGAAAATAGACTGTGGCTGAAGACAAGGCAAGAAGCTGGGTAGATACAAACTGGAAAACTGATAGAAGAGCAGTTGTGGGTTAACACCAACAGCTGGAGAGGCAGGACTTCTTGTCACAGCAATCCCCAGATACAGAGAAAAAAAAATATATCCTAACAGTGAGCACTGCTGGAGCTCCTGTTGGAGTCATTTGGCAGTAGGATATTCTCTGAGTGCTTCAAAGTTGCATTTTCCCTTCAAGGATGTCAAAACATGTTGCAGAGGTATGACATGGCTTTATCTTAATTTACAATGAGGGGAACTGAGAGAAGGTGATGGGAAGTCGTTTTGTCCAGATGAGAGAGAGGGTCATCAGCAAAGACAGAACTCTGGTCCTTAACCCTCCAGCATTGCTGCCACCCTCAGGGAAGACAAGATTTACAAGTGCCAGCAATTCCTGTTGCAGGTTCTGTGCCTTGGAGCATGCCAGGACTTTTCAGTGGTGACAGTCAGTGACAGTGTCACCCAGAGCTCAGCACCGAGGGCCTTCCAGCTGGGCTGGACACCAAAAAGCCATGGTGGCACAGAGACTGTCCTATTGCAGAGCAGGCAGGGATGCTCCAGCCCTTGGTGAGCTTTCACAGCTCTCTGGGACCAGCAGAGGAGCAGCAGTCCTCTTTGCTGAGGAGAGCATATGAAAACATTGAGCGGGAATCCTCAATCATCTTCCCACATGTTCCCATCATACCTTTCTCTATTAAGCAGCCGTGACTTTGCTAACCTGACTGATCCATAATTCATAACTATTATCCATGCTCAATAATTACAGTGTTAATATTTTTGTAATTTAAAAGTACCTTTCTCCAGCTGAGTTCAGCCTGTACCACTGACTAATGCACAATTTAATATTTAAGTGTTTATGAGCAAAAATGTTCTCTCTTCTCTTTCTTCCCAATTCACACCATCAAAACGTTTTCAAAATGTTAGGGAAAAGAGGAATTTTAAGAAGGAATATGATTATGATTCAAAGCAAAATTTAAAAATTATGAAATGCATAATGCCCAATCTATCAATCAAAGCCAATTCTGCAGTACAGACACACTGAAAGCCCTTGAGTTTCTAATCACTAATAGGTAACACTATCAAATTCAGCCCTACACTCTATTAGAATTGCAGTAGAAAAGCACTTAGTGTAATATCCAAAGACAGCTCACCAAATTCTGCTCACTTGGCTCAAAGACAGAACCAAAGATGTTAATAATTGGAAAGCTTCCTTAACCAATGTGCTTTATCAATATGCTCAGAAAAGGAAATAAAATACCTGTACAGAACTTCTGTAGATTAAAAAAATAAATCTAACTTGTATTCAGCCAAAGAACTGTGATTTTCTCCCCAGATTTGTGAATTACCCATGGATGTGTTGCTGTCCCGGATGCAGAGCCCATCATCTCCCAGTTGCAAACCACAGGAATCATTTCCATTCCTTCCTTCTGACCATATTAATTTCAGGCTTGTTTCTAGAAGGATTTTTTATGTCTTCATTTCCTAATTCCTCATTTTCCCATCAGTCTCCCAAGAACCACAAACACCACGTTGGCAGGGCAGCGATGAACTTCATCCAGCCTCCTCTCTTTCAGCTGTGCCTTGTCTTCTTCACCTCCTCCCAGGAAAGGATAGGCAGAGACACCAAGCATCTGTGACCAGGTCCAGTACTCATGTCCTCTCTTTTAAAATTATTTTCAACCACCAGCTTCAGATTTTCTGAGGTTTTCTTACTCTCCAGATTAAATGTCACTGACAGAGCTGCTGTAAAGCAGCAGAGAGGGAGCAGAACCGCCCAGCTGCAGGCAGCAGCACAGTAGTGATGAGGGGATGTAGCAAACACCGAGTTTACACACATACAGAGACACTGTGAGCTGGTGACAAGTAGTACAAAGACTTATTTGATGCAAAGACAGAATGACTGCATTGCTTATGTCAAAAAAAGATCAGTGGAAGCATAACAACAGACCATTCTGCATGCGACACACACTGCATAAAAGCACAAAAAATACTCTTTATGTTTCCTGCACTTTTTTAGCCTGGTTTCTCAGGAAAAAAACAAGAGATGTGCAATTGTTCTGTCAGTCATTGCTTCCCCAAATAACTTTTGAACCTGTTGGCTGATCTCAGGTTTGACAGATAGGCTGAGGTCTCAAAGGGATCACATTCCTATCAGATGCATGAAAATAATAGAGACTCAAACTAGTGCCTTTACTGAGCTGCCCCCCGTGCTGTGGCTGCCTCTGCTCTGTACCTCAGGGGTACCAATTAGCCCATGAGCCAGAGCAGCTCTGTGGATAAGGAACAGCTGGGGTAATGCTTGCTTACACCCTCAGACAATGCATAAAGCAAAAACAACACTGTGAACATTCCAACCACAGGACACACTGAGATGGGGGCTTCTGCCTTCTCAGCTCCTCCAAGCACACAGAAATCCAGAGCAGAATCCCAAAATGCTCATGCTGGCAGCCTGAGCACATGGCCTTGGTGTCTTTGGTGTCCTCAAAACTGAGTCCCTGATATTTGCAAGCTCCCGTGTGCTGTTAGTTAGTGCTGATGCCCCAAGGATTGCCCTGTTTCCTCAAGGCTCAGCAATAAATGGCATTACCTTCCTTGACCTCCCTTGTCTGCCCCTTGGAGCCGCAAACAGGAGTACAACCTTCACTGCTAAAGCACATGTACATTTTCCTGCTGGAATTACAATAAAACAGAGAGGCATTGCCTGGCAAAGAGTAAAATTCCTGTTTAGTTTTAAGGGGATGCATATGACAGGGAAGCTACAGGACTCTCATTCTAATAGGCAATGCTGCTAATTAAAACTGTTTTGGAAGATCTGCAGCCAGCCTATAAATCACCCCTCTATATGCTATAAATAAGAGGCAGATACGGAATTGAATAGCACCCATTTGTCAACGGAATGAAGAGATTTGATTGTGCCTTTTTGAATAATAAATCCAGACATACCTAGCAGGGCACGGAGAGTTGCTCCAAGTGTCTCTTTTATCAAACAACAATGATTATATTATAGGGTATGCATTATGGGGCATCATCCATTTCTCTTGTTTTCTCATTTATTGCTGACATCCTCCCTCCCAGATGAAACATTTCACTCTGTACAGCATGTGTTCATGCAAAGATCTCAGAAGCCAGGCAGGAGCAAACACTACCAAGTCTCCTGATGTGATGTGCACGTACTAGAATGTATCACACAGCAGAAGGGAGATTTGTAGGGAAATTGAGCCATGGAAGCCTAAATACACAGTGAGTTTTTCCTATATATTTGCCCATAGCACTTCTAAAGGACACTCAAAATGCACTGGGTATCAGACAAAGGAAAGTCACATTGTTCTTATTTTCAATGGATGAGCATTTATACAAAACAACACAGAGAATCAAAGCTAAATTCCTTAAGATTGTGTTATAACATCACTGAACAATGGAAACTCCAAAGACATCCATACAAACCACCAGATTCTTAATAATAATAATAATAATAATAATAATAATAATAATAATAATAATAATAATAATAAAAAGTTACCTCACTCCTGTGTGGAAATCTCAATCACTACTACATCCCACTCACAGCCACCATGTCCTTCTCACTGGAAAAAAAACAAACAAATGGGCACCAATTAGGAAATGGCATTTATTAGTGTTAAGTTCAGAGAAGCTTCAAATCTTGCACATGCACTCATAAAACAGGAGATTTAGGAGTCCCTGTCACACAGAAGGCTGCAGAAGGTTAATTGAGTTCACTGTAGAGGTATCATTACCTCTGTTAACATACCTCAGGAAAAAAGCACATCAGTCAGGTTATGAAGATAGATTTATTTTAAGCCTTTGAAACTATTTGTCAAATTTTTGCCCTCTGACAGGACGATGATTCCTCTTGCTTTGTCCCTAAAACCCACTACAACTGAACAGCAATTTCCACAGCATCCCCTCGACCATGGGTTTTGCACTTCCCATGTGCAGATGTCCTCATCCCACCCACTGGTTGACTGAGACACAGAGAAGCCGTGACCTCTGGCATCTGCTTCCATTTACCCAAAGGAAAAACATTCTTTGGGATGGACCATGGGATTTCAAGCAGGCTTTCCTTTCCCCTGCTGAAGGAGCAGCTGCTGGATGAAGCCCATGAAACCACCCCAAGGGGCTGCAGAGAACTTCCCAGGGGCTGTGCCTTTATCTTCACTTCTGTTGGGGCTTAAAGTGGGGAGAAACAAGGGGGAAATCTTCCATCTGGAATCCCTCATTCCCCTTCCAAAACAGCAGCAACTGCCTACAGTCCTTTCAATATCACCAGGATAAACAGCATCCTTGTGGCCTGCTCCTCATCTGCTCAGGCTAGTAAAGCTGTGACCCATGTGTACTTATTTTATCAACAATAACTGTAAATCAGGATGATTTTATTATTTTGATGTTATGTTTGCCAATAAAAAGGAAAAGACAGTGCTAGGCTGAAAGAATTTGATGGCTATGCATTGATTTTGAAATCCCAGCCATGCTGCCCACATCCTGAGGTGCTTGCCTGCCCTCCCCTTGCTCCCTTGAGTTTCTAAGTAATGTTCTAGGCACTACAAGTCAGGCCATGGCTCCCATGTCACCAGCTCTGCAAAGACTTTGCAATCACTGTTTAGTGCCTGATGATGATACAAAAGCTACTGCGGAGCAATTCACAACACACACACACATACAGAGCACAAAGCCAGCAGATGGGACTCAGAGCACAAAGAGGATAAAACATCATTTTAACAAAATCCGTTTGTTCAGATGACCTGAACTTGAAATTAAGGTGTTAAAATCCAAGACAAAGAGGATTTCTGATTGGCAGCCAGTGATGTCAGCCCTGTGCCAATTACAGAGGGAATTCATGTGGCTGCCTTTAAAAAGAAATAATTCCCTCTCTGATACAGCAATAAGACATTGTAGACAGCCCATTTGCAGGGGATTACACGGCACTTCTCAGGTAGTTAAAGTCACTGAGCCTTTTGACCTTGTGCCTCCTAACACTACTGGAGGCATAATCACACTGCTTATCATGTGTGTCTTATTGTTTAAACAAAGCCCAGCCACCCAGCAAACTGAGCCCTGAACCTCGGGCTCATTGGCTATGAATTATTATGCTGAAACAACATAAATGTAATAAACAGAGCTATTTATTAGTTTATTCTATGATTTCAGAAATGACTACACAGACTAAGAAACGAGAGGAAGGCTGTGCCAGGCCAGAATGAAAGCATTTCTCAGGTCACTGCCTTAAACAGAGATATTTCATGCTACCACAATGCTTACACAGGACAAGTAAATCTTTGCACATTGCAGTCTTGAAGTCACTAGAACTAATTGTCTCTCCAGATGGGATCTGAGCTTACTCGCTGTCATAACGTTCACATATAATGAACATCAGGCAAGGTGAAAATTGATATCAAGAGCACTTCTAAGAGCTAAAAAGTTAACACCTAAATTGGAAATCAATATATGCTTTAAGTATTGATCAGCAGAACAGAAATCTTCAGGTTTTTGCCTCTGCTGAGTGAATACTGTTGTAGGTTGAGCTGAAGTCCACTGAAAAACCATACCTTTAACAGCTGTTTTTAAAAAAATGCACAAAGCAACAAACCCTACACTTTATGGAGTCATTGCCTAACTCTACCACAGCCATGTGCACCTGTGCAGAACAACCAGGAACATGCTAAGACACGTGAGGGGTGACTTTTTGTCTGTCTGTTAGTTTTTAAAGTAATGCTTGTTTCCTCAAGACAAACAGCAAAGACCAGAAGAAACCACAGCTGAGAAGCACCACCTTTGAGGAGCATCACCACTGAGGAGCATCACCTTTGAGGAGCATCACCACTGAGGAGCATCACCTTTGAGAAGGATGGACGGCCTTTGGTACAGGCATGGGAAGGGCAGGTCTGTGCCTCCTGATGGAGCATGGGGCAAAGATTTTGAGCTTGCTCAGCACATGGAAGCCCAGATCTCATCTCTGCAATGCAGTTCACAGGCCTCTTCTTACTCTGCACGTAGAACTGCACAAAGGCAACTATATTGCTTTGGGAATTAGTATCTCTACACAGTGCCCTGCTCTGCAGAGGGGACACACCTCCTTGGGTCAGTACTAGGTGAAGAGCAGCTGCAGAATATGTCATCCCATGCTGTGTATCTGCTCAAAGCAAGCTTTTCAGACTTACTGATGAATGAAATAGCTGTGAAAAACAAATGTCTTACTGTTTGAGTCCTCCAGCCTGCAAGGAAGCAGGAATTTCTGTGCACTACATCAAAGAAACACTTGACCCTGTGTGATCAATTCCTCCTCCTAATTATTACACACCAAAAGACCTGAATTCCTGCTAAGTCTCTCAGGTGAAAAGGGCAAGAATATCTCAGAAAAGGTTAGAAAATCCGTACATTTCTATAAATATTTGTTGGTCTGCATTCCTTTAACTTTGCATGATTAAATACAGCCTGCTTCTGTTCTTCCACTTTATCCTCCGGGGAAATTTATCATCAAAATTATTGTATAGCATTCATTACTCTAGCCTCATTTAAAACCTTGCCCTACTTATTATTTAGGCTGCAAAAAAAAATGTTGCTTTGTATAGTATTTCCTATAATAGTCTCAATCATTACATTAAAAGATTGCTGTAAGGCAGCTTAGCCTGCATTAGAGAAAAATAAAGTGGGATGCCATAGTTAAGTGTTACAGTTCTTATTCAGCTTTTGTTTCCCAAATCATAAGAATGCAACGTTTCAGTTCCTTAAAAGGCTCTCACTGCTCATTAGAAACATCCAGGACTTAAGTCCCTGGCTTTAAAAGGTACATCCAGTGCTTCTTCTCCAGTTTAAAAGGTGGTGGGGAAAGGCAGAGATGGGAAGGAATGGAATGGAAGGGAGTCAGGAAGCTCCATCAACTCAGTGGGTGGGGAACACAGCTGTGACAGTCAGAGCAGCAGGGAATGCAAACAAATGATTTTTTTTTTTAACTCTTATTCAAAACTTTTGTTTAGTACAGCAAGACAGACATGGCTATTTAAAAGAAACAAGATGCTGTATCTACAGGGAGGGAGAAAATTGAACTTAAATCCCCGTACCGGTATATGAAGCCTCTTAATTTGGGTTCCTTCATTAACAAGACTACCCTGATGGTAGTGGTACTCAGGTACCACTGCTGGTGTTTCAGATGTGTTTTTCCAATCCTAATGTACCTCTGAAAAAGGATCATTAATCCAAATCTGAAGACACTGGTACAGCTGTTCCTGAACTGCACACCCCCTTGGGGAGGTTATCAGGGAGATGGCATCTCCTCTCCCATTAGCAGCTCCAACAAGGTCTTCTCCTACAGGGATTGCTGAACTGAAGACTTATTTCTAGTTTGAGCACAGCAAATTCAAACTGAAACCACAGGCTGGGCAAAAGCCATGCATGAACACCGACCATTTTTTGGAGGTTATGTCATGTGTTTATTGGTTTGTTTAGGTTGTTCTGACCCTCCTCAGTGCCTTCTCTGGAGCTGGCTGACCCCAGAGGCTTTTTGCTATCCACAAACCTAGCTACTCATCCCACATCAAAGACCTGATATAGGACCTAGGGACATACAAGGAACCCCTGGTTTAACCCTCTGCAATGGTGAAAATTGCCCGGTTATACCTAATCTTTGCTGCAGGTTTTGATTCCCGACTATATTTTTCCCTTTCACCTGCCTTCCTTGTCTTTCTGACTGTTTTCTGTGAGAGGCCTTGCAAAAGACCTTTCAGTATCGTAAATAAATGAGATAAGCCAGTTCCTCTCTCTTCCTTCTTATTGACAAGTTCAAAGACTTCTAAGAGATTAGGAGTGAAAGACTGTAAGTGACCTGCTGGGTCATCAAGCCTAGGCTTTTCCTATCACTTCCAGCCACATCCTACACTACCTTTCTACTGGATAAGCCTGATTTTATCAGCATCTCCCAAATGTTTTCTTTTTTTTTTCTTATCATTTGAACCAGTTTACCAGGTACAAATGAAAGGCTTAGTGGTCTGTAACTCCCTGGATCATTTTCTTCCTGGTGTCACAAGAAGGCATCTTGTCCTTTCTATCCATTGTGCAGACATACTCCTCATCACCCATGGGGAGGGAAAAGAGGTAAGTTTTGGGGGACGGGAAGGGAACAGAACAGTGGAGGTGATGTTCATATAAGATGTACTGCCAACTCCAGTACATGCAATGCACTGAAAAATGGTGAAACAATGAAAATTCTTGTTTTGTCATAGAATAGTTTGGGTTGGAAGGGACCTTAAAGATCATTTAGTTCCAACCCCACAGCCATGGGCAGGGACACCTTCCACTAGAGAGCAGTCAAGGCAGGGATCAATATTTCCCTTGGCTATTATTTTGTCATTAGACTTCACAGATAAATACATATTATTTTCTTCTTTACCCCAATTGTATGGACTCAGAGTTAATAATGAAAAATATGCAACATCCTGCTATTTGTCATGCACCAAACACAGCTTTCCCATCGGTCTGGTCAGCAGAAGCTGTTTCTGATCTGTTCCAATGACTGTGGCTGGAGGGACTATGCTCATTAGCTGTGCTGTGCTCCACAGGGGCAAATTACCGT